AAAGAGGCAAAAATAGATTTCTTTTCTAATGCTTTCAACCACTGCCCAAATACACAAGTGTGCACACTTGCACATGCATTCATACTAGCACACACATGAACACACATTATTACTTTACACTTAGACTCTTGACTCCCTTTTATCTCTATGTATGTCTAATATACTATTTTCCCTTGTTTGTCATCAACCTCTGCTTATCAATGCCCTTCTGTCTGATTAGTGTTGAGAGCTGCTTTGGAGTAAATACACAGAGGGGGAAAAAATTTGAATTTATAGAGATCAATTGGCTGCTTTTCTAGATCACTTCATATTGTCTGCTGCTCTGCCCACTGAACCTCTCTGCTTTCCCAGGGTATTTTTGTGGTGTCAAATACTGCAGCAAGGCTTTGTCTCTTCTTTGGAATGCACACTGCATGGTTGCTGTAATACTAATGCTCTCATGTTTTCAAACCTCTATTTTACATGTCTTTGCTGACACAAGTTGGAGTAATTTAAGAGGCAACTCACAAAAACTTATTTTTCTGTATTTGATTATGATCCCTTAATTGCAGATTTGCAAGCATGAATGGAGCAGCACTATCCAACTTCTGCCCTTTTTGACCTTCTAGTCAGAAGTCAACCTTCTAGTCACAGTATTTCACTTTGTGTTAGAAAATGGCATCACTGGCTTTCATATTCAACTATCCAAATATTTTTCTGCCAAAGGAAAGCAGTGTTTGATTGCCAGCACTCAGAAAAATAAGATAAAGAATACCAGCACAAAATTGGACATTTAGAGACACAGGACTGTACCTTACCCAGTTTGTTATAACACAGTAATCCTGGGTGAATTCAAATATTCTGCCTTGTGTCCCAACACAGAACATTGCAGAGCTGTTGGTGACAAGCTGGCAGATATTGTCCCATCAGTGTTTTCCCCCAGGTAAGTGTGATTCCCAGAAATTCTTGTCACCCACCTCTCACTGCCACTCTTTCAGCTGTCCCACTCCTCCATCACATCCCAGCAAAACCTCCACAGCAGCAGAGAATAAATGGCCTCTTATCCTAATTCCTCCTGCTGTTTCACTGCACCTCTCTGTGTTCTGGTGCCCCTCAGGAGAAGCTGGTGTGAAGCCATTCCTGGCACACACTCCAGGCTTTCTGGCACTGTTGAAAAAGACTGCACTGAGCTCCTTAAGCAGTGCACCAGTCACGGTTTGTGTCTCTGGACATGAGCCTTCTCAAAAGCATATGACTGAAATGGTTCTTTATTGATTGCAGCTCTTTGATAGGGAAAAAAAAAAGTCAGAAACAGACTATGAATACAGTATGGGAATTGTGAGTTATTAGGGACATCAGGCTTCCAGCAGATGTTTTTATCCCGTAACAGAAGCTGAATAACCAAGTCTGCTTACAGCTGGCCTTGGAGCCCCATGGAGCTGAGTCAGCAAGCCAAGCTTTGTGGGGCTGGGTCTTCTCTTGCCCTTCACCATCAGCCATACAAATAACCTTTAATGATTTGAGAGAGCCTGAATTCGTTCTCAGCACCTTAAGAGGAAGTGTGTGGCGGTATTGTGCAGTCATTGCTGAGGAGAGTGGTTGTGTTGGTAAATTTAAGATGCTCATTTCCTCCTTCTGGGGAAAGGCTCCCACTTCTTTGTGAAAACAACCCATGTGTTGGATATAGCTGGAGCTGCTTTTGCATCAAGATGCCTGCCCTGCAGCTGTGAATCCTGCAGATGCATATATCTCTACCCTTTATGATAAAATCTGTGTTGTGAACACTTTCTTGTCACAGCAGATTAGGGAGAGAAGAAGAAGTAAAGGCTGGGGAAAGGCTGCTTACAGATTTGAGCTGCTTGGGAACACGGGCCACTATTTAAAGAAGGCATCTGAGTCGTGCTTTCCCCCGAGCTGGTAATAATTGTGCCTTTCCCTTCCATGGGAATAGGAGGAGGCCTTTGGCTGGCAAATGTTTGCATATAGCCCAAATCAAGTCATTAGTTGCCATGTGGCCAACCTGTATTTTAAGGCCCTCCAGCTGAAAAGTCCATTTGCATATTTATCCAGCCAGGAACATGGTAATTAAGTCTGTGGCATTGTACACAACCCCGAGGAAAGTGTGCAATTCAATAGTTCAGAAAGACTCCTGCTGACTTCAATGGGGCTTGGAGCAGTCACACACTCGGAGGGTGTTTACTGCATCCCAGACAATCCCAGTATTTGAAGGAATGATGAAATTAAAACTTCAAATTATCAGCGCCTCTGCCATTGAGAATACCAGCTCCACCTCTTAGACCAGAGAGAAAGCATCACAAAAGGGGTGAAGTTTGCTGCTGGATGTGCTCTCCTGGCTGCTCATGGATGAGTGCACCCAGCTCCCAGCAAAGCAGCTCATCCCTGCTGCCAAGGGCTGGGACAGGGGCTTGGACCAGAACTGTGCACAAGGCTTCAGCACAGCAGGCAGGGGAAATGATGGTGCCAAAGAGAAACACAAAGGCTTCAGGCTGCCCTTAAAAGATGATCTAGCTATAAACAAACAAACAGCTGTAGCAGCAGAGGGTACTTGAAAGGTGGGTGAGTCTTCCATGGGGGAGGGAAATGTCTGTGGTAGGAAAAAGGCATTTAACAGAAGTGAAAACTATGTTTTATGGAGGCAGGCCAAAACCAGTTCCTGCATCTGGAGTGTTACTTTGCTAAAAGAGATGCAACAATCTTTTGTGTAATTTAAGGAAAAAAAAATTATACTGTGAGCTGAAATTTTAACTGCGCCCATGATTGCAAATGAATTTTCTTTATTCAAAGGTCTGAATCATATTTATTTATTTATTTATTTATTTATTTATTTATTTATTTATTTGGATTTGTATTTTTGGGGACAGAACTTACCTGCTGTAAATCTCCAAAGTCTCTTTGGTTACAGTGGAAGCGTGCACCATCCAAGGCTGTCCTTTTCCACAACATACCTGGGAAACTTTCATCCTTCAGCAGTAACCTAATGCACCATTTTTCTGGTTTGCATCTTCTGTGCAGCTGATAATTGTTTCATTTACACAAAACTGTGGCAAAACATAAGAAATAATGCCAAATATGAGAGCCATCTGAAAAGTAAATTGAAAACATCAAACCTTTTGAAAGGTGGTTCTACCTCCAGCCAAGGTTTGTACGCTGCAATTTCTACACCTTCTTCCAGCTCCTCTGCCTCACTGGCCTCAGGTATCTTTGCCAGCATGGGTGGGCCAGGCAGGAGAGAGGAGATTCCACAGCATATTCCATATTGCTGAATGAAAAGGGGAAGGGAAAAAAGGCCTTCAAAAAGAGAAGAAAAACTGACCCAGAGGCAGCTAAGGATGCCTGAAAGAGACAAAGATGCTGGGCCTGATTCAAATCCCATTGAAGCTGATGGAAACATTTCAATGGGCCTTGGAACAGGGCTCTGCAGTGAAATGAAATGGGGAAAGAATGAACGGCTTTGGAGACAAACAAATTGGGAAGGGGAGGAGGAAGATGGCATGTCAGCATCAAAAAAGTGGTCTGGCAGGGAGAAGAGGGCCTGCGCAGTTGAGAACTCAGATAGGAGTTGGCAGCTCCCAGCACAAGAGCCTGGCAATGACCTGAAATACCGAGAGATATTTGTTTGCCTGGGGTTTGTAGTGTGTGGCAGCAAACAAGGCCCAGAAATGCAGAAGAGAGAAGAGCACCTGCCTGGAAGAGTAGAAAACAGAGCTAGTGTTTCCAGCCAAGGGGACCCATCCCAGGGGATTTCCCTTCTCTCTGTCCATTTCTTGATGGGTTTAGCCAGGAGTTCATTTTTAGCCTTTGAATGTCTTGCCCTGAAAAAAATGCTTTCCAGGCAGGTCCTGGTGTAGCACACTGTGGATGTGACCTAATAAATTCTCAACTGCTCTGCAAAATATCTAGGCCTTTTTTTTTTTTTTCTTTTATAAAAAATAAAAATACATAATGATTCACCATGTAACTCTTAAATCCAGATTGTATTCCAGAGTTAAGCCAAACCAGCCTCAGATCCTTCTTCATCCCGGCAGAAAATCCTTTGCCTAAGGTTTCTGGGAAATGGGAACATATAAGAAAAAAACCACAACAAACAGAAGTATGAATTTAATTACCAATACTATGCTCCAACCTCAAAGGGGAAGAAGAAAGATAATTGCTTAGGGTCTCTGAGTGGAATCCTGTCCCCATGGCCAAGACAACAACCAGTCTAGCCAGCATCTCAATGACAAGAGAGCAACGTGCAGCGTGTTTTCTAGTGTCAGTTATTCTGCATAGAGTCATAACAGGTAAGTGAAATGGTAATTAAAAACTAAAGGAAGTGCTGGCCAGAGGTGAGAACAGGTGGCATGGGCAGGGGGCAGCAATTTGTTAGGTATAAAAGAGCAAGATAAAAATATACAGCAATAATAAAAGCAGCATTCTCATGGGGAGTTTTTGCGGGCAGAGAAATAAGGATCTAAAATGGAAAGGTGGAGGGTTTTTTTTCCCCAACCTGCATAAAAGAGCCTGGACAATATGTGTCAGTCCAGCCAATGTTAACACATTGTTATGATAAAGCAAAAAGTCCTGTGAGAAAACAGATTTGGAGTGGCAAAGGTGCTTGAGAGGGATAAGTGTGAGCTTTTGAGGAGGAATGGCCACAACAAGGAGGGGAGGATGTGGTGGTTGCTGGGGGTAAGGGCTGCTGGGGGCTCTTGGTGTTCTGCCTGCAGGAGCACACGTGCTGCTCGTGTGCCAGGACAACATCCAGCTGCTGCTGCTGTGGCAGCCGTGGCACCATGCTGATGCTGTCCTTGCAGTGAGGTTAACTCCAGGCACCTGAGAGGGGACACAGTCTTGCTCTGACTCTCCAAGGGTGGAGGTTTGAGGTGGCATCTCTCAGAAGATGAGGGGAAATGGGTTTAAGGGTGATCTTAGATGGAAACAGGAGATTATGAACAGAAAAATCTTTTAGTGAGTCCCTTTGGTCATGCGCTTGTTTGGTTTTGGCAAGTAGACACACAGCATCTCTGAAATATTTTATTGGTGTTACAGATGGCTGCCCTGACAGAAATGTGTCCTCGTTTCAGCTTGGAAAACCAAAGTTGATTTGGTCTTAAAATTTACCTGTTGGATTTATTTTTTCCTTATTAAAAACACTCACAGGAAGCACCTGAAGCTGTTTAGAAAACAGGGAGATTTGAAGTGTTAATATATCAAATTATATTTCTCTTTGGTTGGGGGAAGAGTGCTTCCCTTCTCCTGAGGTTACAATTCCTCCTTGTCAACCTGCAAGAGATCTTCCCTTCATGCAGATAAAATGATAGAGAGATATACACGGGGACTCCAGCCCTGAGTGCTTTAAGCAATCCCTTCATTTTGACATGTATTTGTTTTGGAGTTTTTGCCTGGTTTCCTAAAAAATCTTGAACTTACTTTCTCACTTTATTCAGACAAAATCATAAAAGACTACTGAACATTTCTCTGACATAAAATGCCTTCTAGCAGGAAAATAGCACCTTTTCATGTAATGTCATCTCAAATCTTTTGAACCTGCTCACTGATTATTTTTGTAACAGTTTTCGAATTATCATTCCTATGTTTGTTTGTTGCTGCTAAATGTCTCTGCAAGTCAAGGGTTATAAGGTGCATTTTATAGAGACAGAAAATGAAAATAGACTACTTCAGTATAATTCTTTTAAAAATGCAAGCAATCAAGAGATAGAAGTCTGTTGGAATCACTCCTTTTGCAAGTCATTTCAGACTAGTTTTAAATTTTGATACACCAGGGGAGAAAAATATCTCCCTGTATGTTTGCAAAATACCTACTTCAGTGCAAACTGTATTTTGACAGAAATCTTTGATCTCTATCAGAGTGCAAATGACTAAAAATTAAACATGAGGAATACCATGGGGAAAAGTATTCAGCACAAACTAGACAAGGGGGATCTTTTTCTTCTTCATTTGAAATGTCATTTAAATTCTCCTTTATAGACAGATATTAGGAGACACCACATTGGCTCTGATCCTGCTTTGCTCCCTTCCTCCTCAGTCACCTGCAAGAGGAGATAGGTTGTGAAACTTTGGTTAAAAATGTCAAATGGGGCTGAATTTTCTGGCTCTGGGGCATTCCCAACCTGTGTGGGGCTGTGCCAGACCCTGTGGCCCGGGAGTTGCAGGAATCAGCAGCCAAAGAGGGCTCCAGCATTTCATGAATGTACAAATAAAAGAGATTACAGACATTGCACAGAAAAGTCAGAAAGTATCTTTTGATGTCTAGGAAATAAATTTGGCTTAATGCACAAAAGATTCAACACTTTGTGGCCTCTTCTGTCTGCCATAGCTCTACAACTTTCTTACCTTCTCGTGTGTAAATCCCTTTTTTGGCAGGTACCTATTCAAAACACTGATTGGCTAATTTAATAACCCATTCCTCCCTGCTCATTAGAAGAATCTGATGAGAGGAAAAACAGTGTTATATAAGTGAAAAGCAGGTGGTGAACTCCTTATTACCAGCCAAAATCAGCCTCTACCCAAAATTCCAAAAGTAAAATATTATCCTGATTTACATATACATCTCTCAGATATTTGTATGTATTTTCAACTTGGAACAGTGCACGTGATTCAAGCGTAGCCTGTTTGTATGTCCTGGAAGCTTGTAGTGTTAAACAACAATTTCAAACAGTCCAATTAACACTTTTCTTCATTTCCTGTTCTAACAAATACGGACATATTAGTCCTATTTTTTTAATGGGTGTTTATGCTGAGAGCTTTCAGTTTCTAAAGGTGCTCTATGGTCCTATAAAAAAGTCACCATTTAACACATGCAAATTTAGTGAGATTCACAGATTTAATATTAAGCACATACTTCATTTTTTTACTAGGTATAGCTGGAGGTCTTGGAGATTATGCTTTTTTTGTCTCTTAAATGCTCGAGGCAGAAAATCAACACAGCCCCATCAGCACAGGCTGTGACTCTTGCAGGGGAGCAGAGCGCAGCAGGATTCACTGCAGTGTTACAAACTGCAGGTTAGCTTTGGGTATCTCCCAGTGTCCAAGCACAGGGCCACGAGGACAAGCCCTTGATATAATTTGCCACATTCTTTCAAGGGCAAATTAGTGGTAGCAGTATTTTTGAGAGTGCTGCAGACGATTAAAGTATCATTTGAGGAGAGCTCATTGGGATCACACATCTCTGCTGCAGGTCTGTCTTTCCATGTTCCGCCCTTTCGATGACTTTCGGCCAGATTCAGGCGTTAAACTCTGCCATCAGCCCCCGGTTCTCAAGGAGAGCTTTGCAGAGAGATGGGTTCTGTTCCTCCTCAGCCTGCTGTGACATTTCCGAGTGTGGGAGCCCCAGCTGGGTGGGAATAGCCTCAGCAGGGCAGCTCGGTGCCCTACATCCCGCTGGCTGCTCTCAGCCCCTGCAATGGTTCACTTGGCGGAGCCGGGAGCGCAGGTAGCGCACACGGAGCGCGGGCTGGCGGAGCTCCCTCGCTGATCGCCATCTGGAGAGCACACACTTCCCCTCACTCCGAATTATTTTTAGGCACCAAGCTTCCTAGTCTTTAAGGGCAAAGAGAGGGGAGTAAAAATAGGCCAATTAGTGTAATTTCTAAAAAAAAAAAAATATTCCTTAAAGATCTTGAGCAATTGCAAAGGTGACTTTAAGATTTAAGAGGGATGGAAAACAAATGGGCTGGGTAGGAAATTTGGGGCCTCTAAGAAGATCTCTTAGCCAATAAATTGCCTTTTTTATTCTAAGATCTTTGAAGTATCCTCCCAGGAGGGACTATCTTAAAGCTAGCTTTAGTTAGTAGCGTTGGGTTGTTAATGGCTTCCGAATGTACCTTCCCTATTTTCTAATCTTACTGTAACCTCTTACTTTCTCTGACTGTTTTGTCATTTTTTTCACTTTGTGTTTGAAGAGCAAACTTAAAACTGTGAAAAGCGGGAGTTTTGTGTAAACAAAAGGCTATATGTGACATAATTTCAGGCTTGCCGTGGTCTGTTCCCTGTTTGTCACACAGGCTCGAGTTGGTTTATCTGCAGCATTGTGAATTTTAGGAAAAGATTTCAGTCCTGCTTGGAAATCTTGCCATCAATTCGTTGGACATCTGGTTTCAATTTACAATTTATCTGCCTGAGGGTACCTAGCACCCCCAGAGTAAATAATAATAATACTGTTAATAATAATAACAATATCTATAATATAGTAATAATAGATGTAAATGAAGTACATGTTCTTGTGTTTCAAATGCGGGAGAAAACAAATTAGAAAATGAATTGCCTGGAGGTTTGCATTTACATTGCACGGATGGTTTACATTTTAAGCAACATGAAAACAGCGTCCCTTCAAGGAACACCATGAATTTTTTGGGAAGATTTATTTAAACCAAAGATTTGAGGAAATGTTAAAACCAGATGAATTCTGTACACAATAAAAGTGCTAGATCAAGGAATTTGGTTCAGCACCAACTGTGGGTCTAAGTATATGAGCAAAATCTATATTTTAAATCAGGGATGGGTAAATTTCTGCAACTCAACAGGAAACCAAAATGTTTTCTGAAGCTAAGTGCAGATATTCACCTGTGAAGGTTAAAAGAAGATGACTCAATGGAATTGCACATGTGGGGGAATTTTTGGACTCTCTAGTATTTCCACTTGAGTTTGTCTTGGAGAAAGCAAAATCTTCCCAAGAAAAATATCAATTTGAATAAAGCTTTCAAAGAAAATGAGAAAGACAAATTAGTGATGGCACCAGCAATCATTAACTCACTCACATTGTGTAATAATAATCTTTACTTTTATCCCAAAGAAGAGAAGCTGCTTTAAGACAGACTCCACAAGTCTGTTGACTGCATCTTTCACCCAGCTGTCAGAAGTTCAGGTTTAAGGTGCCCCTCAAAAGCAGACACAATCACAACTTGAGCCTCCAGGTCTCATCTCCTGGGACCTGACTCTCCAGCTATTAAATATTTATTCAGGTGTGTGTTTTTCTTCCTCTTGTTTTTCAAGGAGAACTTCACGGGGTCTCAAGGTCTTCATGCAGACCTTGATGCAGAAACATCACAGGTAAAATTCCCATTTCACGGCAAGACCAAGAGCAGCAGGAACTGCAATAGAAACAATTCCAATGCTGCAGGTCACTGGAAAAACACCAGAAGGAGGACAACAAACAATTTGGTGAAGAACTAATGCCTTTGTCTGTCTTGGCTTAGCTGGTTGAGCACTGCCTTAGAAGATGGTCATGGAAAGGAATATCTGGGTAACAGGAGGTGCTGCTGCTCAGAACAACCCCTCTGCTGCAGGACATGAGCTGGTACACGGCATGAGACCTTAAATAACACTGTGCTCATGGCATGAAGAAGCCATGGCAATTTCACCTTTGCAATTGCTCAATTTGGCTTTTAAGGAATTTACCTAGATATGTATGCATGTGAAAGGGAAGGAAAAAAACACATTGTTTATCTCCGTGGAAAATTCAGGGAAGGAAATCAACACAGAATATGTTTAAGGAAATACTGACAGAACCATGGATAGTGTTCACATTTCAGTACCAAATACAATTACAGAGCAGGAAAACTACCAGGGAAGAAACAGTCAAAACCCAAGTTGCAAATGTCTATTCAAGCAACAGAAAATATGATTTGAAAATTAAACTTTTCCTCAACTGAAGCAAAGAAGGAAAAGGTTTTGGAAGGTGGGAATATATGGTTCCATGTCTGAGAACTACAAGAAATTGGAAAAACAAGTAACCAGAGGCTGAAATTAATTTTTTGAATGCCTCAGAACAGAAAAGAAGCACTTTCAAAAATGAAAATATGAATAAACATAGAAGTGGAATGGGAAACAGAATGGCATTTAATGTTATTTTCCAAAAATATTGAAAGATTAATACCTACATTACCCTGTACCTGGCACATGTCATCAAGTTTAGACATCATCAGAGACAAAAGATCTGAAAACAGAGGGCATGAACAACAGTAAAAATTTAAAAATAGCCCTGATTCAGTCAGATATTTATTTTGCTTTAGGGAAATTTAGATCAAGCATTTATTCTCCTGGAAATGAAACATGAAATAGATGCTTTATAAGTGTATATAGTATATTCGGCCAGGTAGCTAGTGCTGGCCATTATACTATATAGTATATATATACATTATACTATATAGTACTTTACACTATATACATTATACTATATAGTACTTTATATAGTACTATATAGTACTATATATATATATAGTATATACTATAGTGTATATATATATATACACTATATACTAGATATAGTATAACGGCCAAAAGTTATAAAGATTATAGTGGCACTCTGAACTACTTTATCTTCAAGAAGAGCATAGGAGGAAATAGATGCAAATAAATCTGTTTTATTCCCCCTTACAAAGACTTAAACAAGACAAGGCATGGGAAGATCAGTGGGTATTTGTGATCTAGACTTTAAAAAGTTATCACAAGACCAAACTAAATACACCTGTAATTCTGGATTACAGTTTTGTGTGTGAGAGGGAGCTGTGGAACAGACAGGACCATGGAGGAGGTTTGAAGGTCCCAGTGCTGGAATAGATCCACAGTTGTGGGAAGGGACTGGTGTTATGCTCATACTGAAAACTGAAATTAGGCAGCCAGCCCTGGCAGAGGTGTATGAGTGGGTCTGGGTAGATCTCACAAAAATGAGAAGATCAGACAGTATTCTGTCAGATGAGATTCCACTTCTTTACAAAATAATTTGCTTTAGAAGGTACAAATTAAACTAAGTATTCACACCTCTGGGATCTGAATTTGCTGTGAACTTCTGAAGAAAATGATTTAGGCATCACTATGGACAGCTCAGTAAAGACATCTGCTCAAATTCAATATGTAGCAGCAGTCAAAATTGTAAATTAGATGTTAGGCTGCATTAAGAGCTGAATGGCCATAATACAGGAAATATGGTACCATTTATAAATCTGTGAAACAGACCTGGAGACTGAGAGCTTTCGGTTTGTTCTCTTGATCTCGAACAAAGAAAAAGAAAGAAAGAAAAACCAGAAGTCTGAGGTGGCAACAAGGGATCATAAGAGTTACAATGAGGAAACATTTAACATTGGAGTCCTTGGGAAAGAGGATCTAATTTCTAAAGAGGAAAAAATAAGCATGCAGGTAAAGGTAGAAACATATGCTGTGGTGGAAGCTGAAATGGAAATCAGATATTCTGACATTGCTCTTTTGTACAGAACCATTTCTGTGGTATTTGAAACAAGCACAGGCTTTTATAATTCTGCTTGGTCTTGGAGGTCTGGAGTTTCAAATGCTTTTGGTCATTCAGTGTTTGCAGCAGGAGGTAATGTTTCAGGAAAATTTTGATTCTTCTCACTTTTAACACTTTCCACGTTTCTAGGGACATTTGCAAAAGGCTCATTTGTATAAGTTCAAAAACTCTCTTTAATTAAAAAGCCATCTTTGTGAATGCAAATGAATACATCAAAAACTCTCAGAAGTCCACACAACTAATAATTAATCTAGATTTCAAGGACTCTTTAACACTATTACATCATTAATACCTCCCTTATTCAAGAATGAGTATCCTTCTAGCAATTAAAAGAAAAAATTTGAAGATAATTAGACACAATTCTCATCACAATATTTTACACAGGTATATGATTTTGAAATTAGGTCAAGGGAGGGAGGGAAAATGGTGATTCATTGCAGAGGCTCCAAGAAGCAGAATTACCCCATCATAACTTCTAAGTAATCTGTTTTTCTAAGTTGTCAGTGTAACTAATGACCATTGTTAATAAATTACGAAGCTAGAGAACACCTTAGAGAGTATGAATAAACTGGGTGCAGTCTGACATGTGTCTTTATCAAAAAAAATCATCAATAAAATTTTTGAAAAGCTTACCTATTACAAAATCTGCAGCCTGTATATTGCTTATATACCATGGTGATGGGTCATACAGAAAAAAAAATGATTACTCCTTTAATATTGCACTTGCACAGCAGCAGTGACAGAATAAACCTGGGATGCCAAAGCAATTATCCCAAAATACATCAGCCCTTGCACTCCCTGGAATAATAGAGGAAGGGAGAGATATGATTTGTTTTAATGGACCAGCAGAGATAATAAAGAATTGCTTAATGTCTTTCTTCACAGATTTAGATCTTTACGATAAGGTTTTTATGAAATAGAATATATAACTCAAATAAAGTGAAACCAGATTTAATGAAATTGCCTGTCAATAGCACATTTACAAGTTTGGGGGGTTTTCCTTCAGACTGGTTACACAGCCTTTTTTTGATAAGTATTAATAATAACTGTACTCAGATGGTTCTCTGAGCAATCAAAAGTTGTTTTCACAACTGACAGTATGGTCTGGTGGAAGACAATGCCCAATAGCTCAGGCAGGTCTCAGCAGTTCTGATACCCCAATTCTGACACTGGTTTTGTTACTGATTTGCTGTTTGGCCTTAGAGGTAGCACATGAGGTAGTACTAAATAGCTGTAAATAGTACCAAGAGCACAGAGTTTCTCACGGCTTTAATTAATGTCTGTGAAGAGCCTGAAAAAAGCCCTCATGAAGCCTGGAAGGCTTTCTAGACATCCAGAGTATTATTGTTTGAATAGTCTGAAGCTTTAATAGCATTTCAAATAAAGTTGAGTACACATAGATAACAAAATTTCATTTATGTTTTAATATTCAGAAATTTCAAATAAAATGTTTCTAAGCTGAATATTTTTATAAGTGTACAATCAAATGTGCTCATAAGCATATATTTACTGCACTTTGCCATTTTATCTGTAAATAGTGCATCAAAATTTTGGGGGAGGAAATAATTTCCTGTTCTGTATATTTCTCTACATGGTTGTGCTGCTGAGCATTCAAGAGATTTCAGCAGAAACTCAATAGGATGCTTTTTGTGAGCAGCTCAAAGATCAGTAGGGCAACCTAGGATGTGACAAGATGAATATTAAATCTGTTAGTGCCGAGTGTCTCATTTCCCAGCACCGAATTGAAACTTCCTGTTACTTTTCTGAAGAAATCTTTTAAAGCTCTGTTGAGATCTGGTCTAGATAGGAGCTGAGGTCAGGGAGAGATTTCCAAGTGATTTACCAGAGCTGCATCTCTGGTAGTGGCAGAAGCCTCATCCCTGGAAACGTTAAAGGCGAGTTTGGACAGGGGTCTGAACAACCTCTTGGAATCACAGACATCTCTGCTTACAGCAAGGGGCTTGGACTAGATGACCTTTAAAGATCCCTTCAACCCAAACCATTCCATGGTTGTGTTTCCAAACACTTGGCAAAAACTGGATCATTAATATTCTGAAACACTTGGCAGCAGAGCCATTCCTTTCTTTGAAGAACTAGTGCTGTTCCCCTAAAAAGAGTTTGTAAAGCAGGAATTCTTCCACTGTTCTGGGAATCCTTCCCTCATTCATCTCTGCCTTCTCTGATATTCCCTCTGATAGTTTCCTGTCAAGTCAGAAGTAAAAAGCTCAACAAACTTCTGCTATTGATCTTCTGCTCCAGGACCAAACATGCACAATTTCTGATGGGTGCAATTTCACCTACTTTTGTATTGAGAGGTTCTCTATAAAAGACCATTAAGAATAAGGAGAATAGCTTCTGAAAAAAAACACTGGGTGTCACATGGGGCAGGTTCTGTTTCTCAGAACCAAGCCAGCATCCAAGCTGTTAGTCTGTATGAGCAAAGAAACTGAAAAAAAAAAAAAAAAAATCAGGTAGGGAGTTCAATTTGTCCACTAAAAAAAAATCTGAGAGTTCAAATTGTCCACTAAAAAATCTGGGAATTTAAAATTTTTACATGAAATGGTTAATACAAGCAGTAGTATGGAACCAAAGAGCTGAAACAACAGCAATCTCAGTCCCAAATACAGCCAGGTTTTAAAACCTAAAGGACAAGCAAGCATTGAAGGGGATTTCAGTGGCATTGTTCATGAGTATTTTTGTGTCTGTTTGAGATGAAGGAAGTACCAGAGCAATGGGAGAAGAGGAAATCAGCAGACCCAGAAGGATGTTAGATCCCAGAGGACAAGCCAACAGAGTGTTCAGGAGCAGTGCTGGCTCCATGAGGTGATGAAGAAGTCGGTCTTGGCTGGACAAAATGTTATTGAGGCCCAAGGTGTAACAGCTGCCCTTCATTCCAGAGAGCTGAAAAGAAGCACTTACAGTCACTTATGAAACTATAGCAGCCTCCAAATCAAAGCCAAGGAACATGTCATCACCCAAACAGCACAGGCAAGTGCCTGGCCATTGAGGAATATTTGCTGAAGTGAGGAGAGGGAAGCAGAGGACATACAGACATGGGGCAGAAGTACAGAAAGAGAGAGATTATTTACCAGAGTGCAAGATGTGACTGGAGGCATAGGCAAAGGAGAGATCTCCTACTATTTGATTTTTTTTGTGTATTCAGGAAGATTAGATTTATCATCCTTCAGAAGTATGTAAATTTGGATGGAAGATGCTCCCGTCGCATCCAGTTTTTCTTTCTCTCTAGAAAAATCTAATTTTTTAGCTAACTACTTGAATCCAAAGGATGAACAATGTGCATTATTCAGGGAAACCTGTTCTGCATGTTCATCTTTTTCTCATGGTCTTGATCCTAACAAGGCAATCTATGAGACTGAACACAGAGAATTCAGAAATATGATTCAGCATGATACACCACTGGTATATTATGAAAGAAAATCAGAGACTCACAGTAAACTTAGAGACCCACAAATAGTTATTTCACATCTTCAGAATCTTCTCTCTCCTTGAAAATTATAAACCTGAGCAAATTGTAGAAAGTTTCCAGAGAAGTCAGTTGCTCATTTCCAGCAGGAAGCAGTATGGTCCAAATGGACACAAAGTCCATAACCAGGTGCTTGCCAAGAGATTTTCTCCCTGCAGGTACAGAAGCAGAGGAAAACCTGTAGAAGACATTGCAGTAGTGAAAATCTCATCTTCCTGTTGCTTCTCTGTGCTCCACTCCAGCATCTCAACCTGTAACATAAAAGATTTAAAGATCAAAAACTTTAGATATCTTTCTTTATTTTCTCCTAGGAGTCTAAGAAAGTTTGCTGGGAAACTTTGAATGGAGTTCAGTGGGATTTGGATCAGGTACTCAGGGAGAGGGTTGAGGAAAAGATCTTGGTGGCTTGAGTGTAAAAGTAGGAGGGTGGTAGTTAGAACAGCCAGGAAATGAAATGGGGTAATGATGCACCTAATAACTTACTGAAAATTCTGCAACAGGGAATAGAGCCAAAATCTCAGTAGAGATGTGAGTCTTTATTTCAAAACAGAGCAAGAAGCCTCTTGGCAAAGTTCCCAAAAGCAAGGTGTGCAGCTGAAAGAATTATTTCCAAACAATTCCATTCCAGAAGCACAGATTGAAAGGAGATTACCATGGCTACCCCCAGGGCATGACTAACCAGGACTGGTGAGGTAGATCAAGCTGGGGAACTCTCTAAAGGCTGACGTTTCAGTAACAAATTGTGTGATAAGGGCCAGATCCTCAGCTGGGCTTGGCAAGGGCAGCTCTGAGGACATCAGTGGAGTTGTGTCATTTTGTGCCAGGGGAGAACTTGGCCCATGGCATGCACGCAGAGATGATTCATGGTTTAATATCAGGTAACACAAGGCTCTGTCAGAAAGACTTTAAACTAATAAACTGTGATAATCTAATCTTGTTATCTCAAATACAAACCACTTCATCAAGCTCAGATTAAGTCAGTATGGGCTACATCTTCCCAGCCCTTTAGGAGGAAAAATGCAGTAATTTGCCATCTGGTAATGTGAGGGTCATATGGAAAGAACAAAAGAGTCTCAATATATGTAATCTTCTGTATCCTAGAAGTTTGGGATAATGACTCTACTGTCAAGACCTATTTGTAGGAAAGTTATAATGAGGGGATATGAAGAAATAGTCATTATTGCTCAGCTCAGAAAGCTTACAGGGCTTGCAAAACAGGGTAGAAGTTTTGCCGAAATACTGGTATTGTTCAGGCTCTGATACACTGACATTTCTAATATTGCTTCATTCATTTTTTCATTTCACATCTATTTGTACAAGCTTGGAAGTCAATGCCATGAGTCAGTCTGTACTTATTTGGGTGAAACCAAAATCCCAGGATACTTGACCTCTTCCTTTTGTGCAATCCTATATTGTACAAGAATCTCCGTCCTCCCAGCTTCAGTAGCTAAAATTTGGGGTGACTTTCCCAGCTTATTAACTTTCTCACACTATTATTTCTCATATGTTTCTCAGATAGTGGAAGGTTATCTTTCTTTATTGTGAGAGTAATTTTTTTAGAAGTAAATTCTAACTCAGCTGTTGGTGGAAAGATTTCTGTTTTGAAGACAATTTGAACAGTTTATTAAAATGTATTATGCCAAATTCTTTCTGATAAGGTCTTAAATGAATGATATAATAGGCGTAAAATTGATAAAAGATCTGGGGAAAGGAATAAAATAAGACATTCTACAGAGGTTAACAGAAAGTAAAGGGATTGCAGGGAGAGGTAGGTTTTGCTTAGACATAAAGAAAATTTTTTTAATATTTAACTAAGGTTTACATAATTTAAAAATCACTCCTTTGTTATTTTGGACTTATTTATAACCAAGTCTTTAAAAATTCAAAGTAGCTGCACATGACAATGGCTGTTGATGAGACTTTTAGGCAGATGACATATTCCACTGAAGATAATGAGTGCCCTTTGCTTGATCTCATTTGGCTTTGGGATGCTCCACTTACCTTTTAATCAAAATCTTGCAGTCATAATTGAGCTGTCTTGGTATTGGAAATATTAAAGGTGTGTCAAGACACTCTCTTACTAATCCAGGAAGGGACAGTCTTTCCTGAATCCCAGAGACACTTAATGGTTTATGGGACATGACTTTACTCTAGGTGTCATCTTTTAAATAGCAAGTAAAATTAAGGTCTGGCCATTTGTGATTATAAAAGATCATTAATTTCATTAAGAATTGAGGTGCTCAATTCCCTTGCATCTAATTGAATTGTGCTTAAGTTACATTTCTTTGTTTTTCTATTATTTCCTGCAAAAGAGTGATTTGTTCTGATATTTAACCTGCAGTTTAAAAGATGAGACATAATATCTGTAAAATGGACAGCCTTAAACCCACATACACATCTTTGACAGCACTTAATTTAAGTGTCTCTTTAATATCCCTTTTTTGTTATTTGTGATTATACTGACTCAATAATGTATCCATGATATAGGATATATTATGTATATGCACATACATCTCTCACCCTGTAAGTAATATAAAATTTATCATATGTTCATCATTCATTAAGAAATAGATGAGATAACCAGTGTGGGAAAAGTCTTTGCTCTTCATATGGAAAGATGCATCTGGTTTTTTCCTTGAAACCTCCAGATAATGAACATCTGAACTGAAACAAATAGATCCTAAGTTAAAGGACACCAAGCTGTCAAAAAATTTATCAGCAAATATTTATGACTATCTAAGAAAGGAAAGAAATTGTTCATAAATAACTGATAATTGTAAATAATTATTTTTGATATAATATTTCAGCTGCTTCAATAATAATGAAAAATATTTTTAGGCACATGAGAAAACCGTTGTGAAAGTTTTGTTTTTTTTTTTTTAAATAACAGATTACTGCTTCTAGAAAGAAGAACTCATTTAAATTTGCTCCATTTTTGAACTTGTAAGGTTTGTGGCAATGAATACAGTGACAGAGAATGGACTGATGCAGCAACCCCAGCTCCTGTGGGCCAGAGGGACCCACTGTGTGAGTGGGGATTCTCCTTCAGGCCCTCAGTGCCTCAGTTTAGCAACCTGAGGAAAATATCCTTTATATTGTATCTAGGGAAGTGTAGACTGTGTGCAGGTGTGCTCCTACAGGGTGAAAAAAGGATTAAAAAGTCCTGACAATGTAAAATCAGAGATAAAATTGGGTGTTCTAATGACTGATTTGTTCAGTCATTAGATATCTTAATTTTATCATTGAATATGCAAGCATATACTGGTTTTAATTGCAGATTAACTGACTGCATTGTCTTTGATTTTCACTTTTGACAATTGGAAGACAAGTATATACTATTATCAGAATTAGCAAAACTATTTAGACTTCAGATTGAATTCTGAGGTGTTATGTGTTGAAATAATATTTCTATGGTTACCCAGAACTCTTCTTCATTTAAGGTGATTCAATCATTCACAATCAATTTGCTAGCCAAATTTTGAACTCCTTCCTCAATACAGACTCTAAGGATTCAAGACAAGTTTGGATTTAATGATAACTGAATAAAGGCAGGGCACACAGGATTTATCACAGGATTTGTTCTTGTTTGAGGAAATGCACATCTTACTCAAAGATTTCTCGTCAGAGGAATATCGATTGCCAGTGACATTCTTAAAAGCATTAGTATAGAAAAAAATGGAGTTTTTCCTATGATTTTCAAAATAAATACCTGGTTTACTTCAAATGCCTGACACCAAGATGGAGATGGTTATAATAAAAAATAGATCTTAGAGAGTGGACTGCAAAATGCTTGCTTGTAGTGTTTATAAGTGTATTTGATTTCACATTGCTCTTTTTCTTAAGCCATCTCAACAACAGCTTAACTGCCTGTGCTGCTGAGCTCCTCTCAGAGCTCTGCCTGATTCCAGCAGTCCAGGACTTGGTGCAGCTCCCTCTGCTCACCCACACTGCTCAGGCTCACCCACACTGGGTGACTCAGTTCCCACAAGGCTGCAATGCCTCTCCTAAACATTTTGCTTCTTTTAAAACAATCAATAATGTATTTCTAAGTATCTAACTAGTTGCACTCCTACAAGGTTTTCAGGTTCAGACTCCTGTTAGACTTCAATTGAAACTTCATCTTCCTCAAATATTCCATTTCCATGCCTGTTTGGATTGTGTCAGTGGTCTGGCAGTATTCATAAGCAAATATGATTGTAATTTAGGCCTCCTCTTGTCAATGATGCATGAGAGATTTACAAGCATTAATACGAGTTAGGATGTAAATCCCTTGCTCAACAATAGCAGAGAATAACCCCCTTCATATAGATTCTGATGACCTATGAACCAAGGGTCAAGTGGGCCGTGCCACAAATTATCTGACAGCAACAGATGCCAAAGTCTTGGGAGGCAAAAAAAAAAATAACAAAAAACTGAGGACTAGGAAATGCTCGGTTCATTTTCACAAAGCAAAAAAGCAATTGCAGCTATTCCTATAACTTCATGCATCAGCCACTGACACAGCCACAAATTATAAGAAGCAAAACAAAGATTCCTTCTTGCCTGGCAGCAAACTTCCTTCTTCCTCCAAAAATACACAAAAGCAGCTCCAAAATAAATAGTCATCACAATTAATTACCTACCCAAACTGAGGGCTGTGCAATAAATCTTTAAAGTTTTCAAGTGCACTTTCAGTATAGGGGAATGTTTGGAGAGTCGAGCAGCAGAAACCACAAAGTATGTCAATTCTGAAAATAAATGGTGTTTTCATAACTCTGAGATAATCAGATTAGTTCTCCACTCCTTTGCCTCAAGTTTTGTACCTGCCTGACTCCATTGATTTCAATAGGGTTTTAATCTATGGCACATCAGGTCTGTATCAATCCTACATCAATTGTAAACTGATTTACACCAGTTGTTAAGTTAGAGGAGGATCACACCCACTGTAATAGTTCCCAGGCCATATGGTTTGTTCTGCCTTTGCAGCTTATTCTGAAATCTCATGTTATTGCTTTTGGCTGCTGTAGGGTTTTGCTGCCATCCTACAGGGGTGTGAGGTCCTGTGCATGCAGGGAAGAGGTACAGTCCAACCAGGGGATTGCAGGACCCTTCAGCTTTTATTTTGTAACCCGATTAAAGGCATTTTCTTTTTTATCTTTTTGTTTTGTTTTGTTAACTGGACACTGCTTTTGCCCAGCTAGTGGTGAAAGTCCCAAATACTGCAGAGATATTCACTCTTGTGAAATCTGTCTGTGAACACAGCCCCTGACAT